AGTAAGTTTGAAATTCCGACAATTCAATATGTCAACTTTATTTGCTTTTAATTTGTCATTCCAGATGCGTTTTATGTGGTGAATCGTTTTTCGAAGAACCCACTATTAAGAAACACTTACAATCTCAACACGCCAATGAAATGACGGAAAACTCGTGTATTTTGTGTGGCAAAGAATGTCGAGATCGCAAAGCCTTAATCAAACATGCATGGGATCATTCACGTGAAAAATGTCATTCATGTTCGAAGTGTGGTAAAAATTTCCATAATAAAGCCCGTCTTAAGCGTCACATGGCATCACATCGTGACAAATCGGTGCAATGTGATGTTTGTCATGAAGAATTTCCCGACGGCCGCACGCTGTCGAATCATCGTCACTCGCATAGTACAACTTCAGCCGGCAAATTGTTTCCCTGTCATGAATGCGGTAAAACATTTGGTTCGCGAAGTTCTCAGCAAATTCATGTACGTATACACACCGGGGAGAGACCATACGGTTGTCGATTTTGTTGGAAAGCCTTTGCTGATGGTGGCACTTTAAGGAAACATGAGCGAATACATACTGGTGAAAAACCTTACGCCTGCTCAGTATGTCCAAGGGCCTTTAATCAACGTGTTGTTTTAAGGGAACACATTCGATCGCATCATTCGGGCTTGGACACAAAACGGGGAACTTACTATTGTACAGTTTGTGGAGCAGACCTGTCTTCATCGGGAGATTTGATTCAACATCTTATACAGCATAGTGACATGAATACCGCAATGCAAAGACAGCCTGTGGTAAGTATTATAATTTTACAAAACAATGTTGGTTGTAATTTTCCCCTTTCCGTATTTTAGACTGGTCCTCGAAAATACAAACGACGGCGCAAGTTGAAACCCCATGAAATTGCCCGTCTGAAACGAGAATCCAAACAAAATGGCGATAATTGTAGTGACCTGGATCTATCTGATTTCGATATGGACAATGTTGACGATTTGCTGGCAATGACAGAGACCAATACATCCACAGAAAATACAACCAGTAATCATGAACTTCCGACAACCATAAAATCCAAACGACAAAAGAACAACACATCCACCCATATGCTGGAAACTAACAATAGTCGGCATTTGACATCCAAAACATCTGCGTCAAAGAAAAAATCTCACATTGAACTCGACCCAGATAATTTTGATTTAGATGTTGCAATGGTCGATGGCAGTGAAGGTAATAAAAAGCCCAGATTCAATTCAACCAGCAGCGACAAGATTTGGTCAACAAAAACATCAAATGACGAGACATATAAGTCACTGCTTTCCAATTTGGAAACCACTTTACAAAGTATTGATAGTTTAGTGGTCGGACCCTCGACAAACAATGCCGTTGACATAGGCATAACTACAACAACACAACCTGCCAAACGAAAATCCAAACAAAGTGAATCAACTGCACAGAGAACACAACAAGTGCAAATAACCAGGAATGATAAGATTGCCAACTCCACGACGGGAAGTAACAACAGCAACCAAAACTCAACCAGCACGACGAGTAAAGGTCGTAAAAGCAAGACAGAAAAATCCAGCGCCAGCAAACATAGTAAAGGACCCCAAATGATACGCACCGAAAAATGTACTGTATCATCTGTTGAGGGTGGCAAAAAGAAATCAAAATCAGTGGTCACTCGTACCCAAACCACCAGTGTAGATATTCTTCCCAAATCCGTTGGCATAGTCGATGATTATGACATTATTTCACCAGCCTTACATCCACCTAAACAAATCAGTTGTAGTCCTTTGCACATAAAACAGGAGAATGACAATCCACCCCTAATGCGAATCCAACATGTAATGTCATCCACTTCATCATCCTCAAATGTTCATCATAGAACTCAATCAAATGCCCGCCATAATAATGATCTGTACGATGCACATCTGTTACTAGAAGCCTCGGGATTACGCAATGATCTTGATGAGATCTTGAGATCACCGCTCAAATCAGATAAACTGGGTGGATCCCGTCAACGCTTTACAAGTGAGTCATCGACACAGTTCTTGACTGAACAATCAGAGGAAGAACAACACTTGATCAAAATTGAACCTACCTCACCGGATTTGAGGGAAATTGTCAACGGTGTTAGTTCGGTTAACACCTCTGAAGCCGTGAGTTCAGCTGGCATGGAATTGAATGTGGTTGATACTTCACACAGCTCGCGTAGAATTTCTAAATCGTCCAGATCTCAACGGAATGTAAATTCAAATAGAAAATATTTTGAATTTGCCAATGACCAACTAAGTAACATGAAGACTGCCATCAACAGCAATTCTCACAAACGATCATCTAACAGTCATTTGAGTGGAGTTACACAGATCAAATCTTCGAAATCTGCCCGCACAGAACCTGCAAAGCCTACAAAATCTTTAACAAATTCAACATCATTTCTAGACTACAGCATGGTGGATAGTTTCAGCACGGTCTCAAGTTCATCACCGCATAGTCACCATCATCACCATGTGAATTCGTTTTCTTCCATTTCGTCAGTGGTATCGGCTGCTGATGCTAATGCTGCAGCAGCCGCCCAGGCAAATCCTTCACCTGCCCGTAAGCCCCAACGATATTTTGAGTGTGAAATGTGTTCAGCTGTATTCTCTGATCGTGCCCAACTGCTGGATCATGTACCCATACACATTTAAAAACAATCTATGTATGCTGCTGCCGCCTACTACTTATGAAAGAATACCACAGTGCCAATAGTTGTTTATATGGTTAGGTTTTTTCTACGAATTAGAAACAATTTTATGAAATTTATGGTTTCTTTGGATCGTTACAGCCACACCAATTGCGTGAAAAAAGTTTGTTTCTTTTGTAAAATTTTATTTAGGTATTTAAAATTAATCTTAGTAAAATACGTTACTTCTTTATTTTGCTCACCCCGTTTTGTTTTTTTTCCTTTTTGGTACCTTTGTCCAAGGGTAGCTTTGTTTGTTTTGTGGTTGGTACATGCCGAACCAAAGACGAAAAAGTGGAACTGAAAAATAAAGAAAAAAAAATATGTTTGTTTCTGTACAAAATACTAATTTAATTAATTAGAATTAATGAGTAAAATTAGAGTTTTGTTACTTACAAAAACAAAAAAAAAGAACAAATCTGTTCAACAGTTCTGTTAGCTTGTTTGCTTTTTAATCTTCTTTTTAAATATATAGCCTAATACATATTGGAAATAATATAAACTTTTTTTGGAACTGTTTACTTTTTTACGGAAAACATTTGCGCTAAATCTACGTGTAAGTAGCTATATCAAACTTAAAAAAACACGCACATGATCAAGGTGGGGTAGATAGAATGTGTTGTTCTTAAACGTAGGTGTTTTTTGGGAATGATTGTTGTTATTCTCATAACTGTAAAAAAAGCAAGTTAAAAAGAAGTAAGTTCGGCCGGGTCTCCACCATTTGGAACGAATTTGGCAATTCTCAAAAACAATAAAATCCGTTAAAAATTCTGGTAAAATCTTAAAAATGCCGAATGTATCTGTTATATTAGGGTCTATACGACGACATGAACCTGCGTAGGTAACATTTGTCATAAGCCATTACAATATTCAAATGCGAAACTTAAAAAATATCGGTTATAATGTCGATAAAATCAAAATACCGAATATCGGGAGGTACCGTTATATGGGGCTATACGAAGACTTGGACCTGCACAGACAGTTTTCCGTCTTAGGCTGTAGTATCCATTACGAATCGTCTGTTATGAACCGTCTGTCCGTCTGTGGAAATCACTCTAGCTCCCGAACGAAATGAAGTAGGTTGATAAAATTTTACTCAAATGTGTATTATGTCTGCAGGATTTTTGGTATTGAAAATGGGTGATATAGGTCCACGTTTTGGTATAGCCCAAATATAATGGTACCTCTCCTTTTTTCGGTATTTTGGTGATTTAAGCGACATTATTCACCGGAAATGTTTCAAATTTGGTATTTGAAGTTCGTAATAGGTACTACAGCCTATGACAGAAAATTTTCTGTGCAGGTCCACGTCTTCGTATAGCCCCCATATAACGGCACCTAGCTATATTCGATGATTGTAGCGACATTATTCATCGGAATTGTTTCACATTTAGTATTTCAAGTTTGTAATGGATACTATAGCCTATGACAGAAATTGTCTGTGCAGGCCCACGTTTTATAACCCAAATTGTACCTCCCTATATTCGGTATTTTGATGATTTTTGCTACTTTATAAACATATATTTTTTCACGCTTCTCATTTGAATATTGTAATAGCTTATGACAAAAGTTGCCTATGCAGGTCCATGTCGTCGTATAGACCCTAATATATGGCTACATTCGGTATTTTTATGATTTTAACAGAATTTTTAACGGATTTTATTTTTTTTTTTTGAAAATTGCCAAAATCGTTCCAAATGGTGGTGGGTATTCAAAGATCGACCCGGTCGAACTTACAGCTTTTTTACTTGTTTTTAATTCAAATTTTATCCCCAAATATGCAAGTTTAAGCCGTATGGCCGATAACGATCAAATTGTAAATATAACTACTCCTTGTAATTATACTCTATATTAAATATTGTAAAGCTCATTGCAAAATATTGGAAAATCCTTCGGTTTCGTTAAAAAATAGTTGGACCAGAAAACCCTAAACCTCATAAAAAATTGACTTTTATACTGTGTATAATTATAACAGATCACAGATTCAATTTTTATTACCTTTGACTGAAGACAAGAAAGCCCTGAATTTTGTTAAAAATCAGAAAATGAAATCATTATCTGTTATTGATGAACCCTTACGGGTAAACACCCAATTAAATGTTGTTTTTTTCGTTTGTTTTTCAATCATCATCAATTTGAAGAGCAAAGAAATTGATAAAAATACAAACAGATAGATACACTTACACATACAAAAAATCGTTACATATGTAAATATGTACGAATGGATGTTAACCAATTGTTGTGTGTTATAGACACAAAAATCTTGATTGTAACTCGAAATTCTATAAATTTATTCGTTTGCATGACAACGTCTATTAGTTTCGAAGTTTCCATTGTCAAGACGACAATACCAAGTGTTTATTAGTTTAAATTATAAAACTAACATGTTTACTACCAAATTATTCATTTTACTGAGTGTTGCTGTGGCTGTTACTTTCGCAGTTCCACAAATGGTAAGTTAAAACGCAGTGATCGATTTTAATGCCACTGCCATCCTATTTGGAAATTTGGAAGAAATTAGCCCTGAAGATCGGTCCAGACTTCGATCATGTCCATGGGTTCTATCCGTCAGGAAAAGGTTCGAGATGTCCGCAGGGATGATCTTCCGGCTAAGCCTACATACACTGTGTGTCTTGTTTGACCCGCATTTTCGTCATAAGAAGTTAATGCCATTGCTAACCTATTTGGGGGACAGAAAGTGGCCCTCAGGATAGTGTCTATGTCTTTTTCCTCATTTCTCATCAGATGCTAATTTTAAACTGAATGTACCACAAATCAGTATTTTCGAAAGTTTTAACTGATTTCACAATAATTTAAACTTTTACCATAGTATGGAGGGTATATTAAATTTGTCATTCCGTTTGCAACACCTCGAAATATATATATTCTTGTTGATCGGCATAAAATTCGATGTCGGTCTAGCAATGTCCGTCCGTTTATCTGACTGTCCGTCTGTGGAAATCACTCTAGCTTCCGAAAGAAATGAAGGTGGTTGTTAAAATGTTAGTCGATGTGTGTTGTGTCTACAAAACCTTGGGTTTTGAAAAAACCTTGGGGTTTGTAATAAACATCCTTGCATAGAACTGTCAATATAGGTCTAAATTTTGGTATAGTCCCCAAATCTCTGTACCTTCTGATATTCGGTATTTGGGATGTTTAGTGTCACACTTTTCACCGGAAATGTTTTAACTTTGGAATTTGAGGTTCCTAATGGGTACTACAGCCTATGACTGAAAATTTCCCATGCAGGTCCACCTCTTCGTATAGCCCCTTATTAACGGTACCTCCATATAATTGGTATAAAGAGACAAATGTTTCAAATTTCATATTTGAAGTTCCTAATGGGTAATACATCCTATGACGGATATGCAGGTCCAGGTCTTCGTGTAGTCGCCAGATAGCGGTATATTCGATATTTTGATGATCTTAGCGGCATTATCCACCGGAATTTATTCAAATTTTGTATTTGAAGTTTGAAATGGGACTATAGTCTATGATGGAAAATTGCATATACAGGTCCATATTTACATATAGGCCCCAATGGTGTAACTTTAGCAGTATTTTTCAACGGACTTTTTTATTTGAAAATTTGCAAATTCCTTCCAAATGGTGGATGGTATTCTGCAGTTCGGTCCGGTCGAACTTACTGATTCATTAATTTATTTTTAATTAATTTTTATTTAATCATTATTTTTCAGACTGGTGGCGTTTCACCTGTAGAGGATCTAACTGAGGTTGAACAAGAATTGAAAAACTCGTTGTCGAAATTGGATGCCGGCGATGGACCTCATTACAAGTGAGTGTTAATGTTTTAAACGTTTTATCTAATGCGTCTTTCGTAACAAGTCATTTGTTGTTCTTTTAGATTGAGCAAGGTCTACAAAGCATCGAGACAAGTTGTTGAAGGCGTTTTGACTAAAATTGAAGCTGATATCATTGACGAAGAAGAAAAAACACAAAAATGTAATATTACTATTTGGTCGCGTCCATGGTTAGATAATGGCATTGAAGTTACCTTTGAATGTGAAGGTAAACCAACATTGACGAAGCACCACAGTGCCTAAGCATTTTGAATTTTTGATTTTTTTTATAAAAAGAAATAATGATAATAAATAAAAAAGGTGTATCTATAAAACGTAATTTGTATGTTTGTAGTCCCTGTAGCATAAAACCCCAAATTATTTATTTTTATATAATTAGTTGTATTTATCAATAATTCCACAGAAACGTATATGTGTGTGAACAATTTTTCAATATTTCCGTCAAGGTAAACCTTTTTCATGCAAGCAAAAAAAGTTTATTTGGATTAGAGCCTTGGCCGGGTTAACCTCCTATACGGATTTATTTGAGGTATATGCACGGAAATTGACTGGGTTAAAAAAATCCTATAAACTGTAAACGTACTATCCGTATTTCAGTCCACTTGAACTTATTAAATCCTAATCATTCTATTCTTTGTCGGAACTTTGATTTTTCGTGTGTTTCTAATTAGTAAACCAAATATGTTTTTTTTATAGGCGATATCAGTTGTAGGTTAACCCCGGGCTAAACATAAATAAATATTATTGCCCGGCGTTTGTCGAATACTACCTGCAAAAGATAGAAAATCTAAAAATAATTTCATATTAATAATTAAATTTTTTTGATTCATTGATGTTTTTGAAATATTCATTTAATAATGGCTTTATGGCTTTCGAGGGTAGGTGAAAACTGCTTAATCAACAAAAAAAAAATGGATTTACTGCTTTGTATCTTTAAATGAAATCCGTATCGAAATAATGAGAATCAATCTTGCAACGTCCGTCCATATGTCTGGTCGGCTGGTGCTCACCATAACATTCGAAAGAAGTATCCGGTTTGGTCTGATCGTGACTAATCGTCAAGCATTGTTAACAATTTGTTATGACAAACTATTTATACCCTACAACACTATGTGTTGGGGCCAGAATAGAAGCCATTGCTTTTGGAGATAATTGCATGATATTTTAAATGGACCAAAAACTGAAAAATTTCATGATTTTGCAGTTGATCTAAAGGTCGCAATTATAGACCAATCGAAGCAGAAGTTATCATTGGGGCTAGAAAATAAGACTGGGTAGAAGCCATCTAATTTTGAGGTCATCCGGAGTGGGTGAAATAGACCATAACATTTGTGGTAAATAAAAGTCAAAATTTCCATTAAACCATGAATATTTTTAATCCCGGCGAAATCACAAATTGGCGAACAGGTTAATTTTGACCGTTGCGTAGATGCCCGCAGGTAAATATATCGAATATATATAGCGAAATATATACAAAATATATATATAGAAAAGATGGGGATGTTAGCTAGAATGCATACAGGGTGAGATAAAAACGCCATAAGTTTTACATTTTTTTAAATTGTATTGAATAAAAGCAAAAATGTAGGAAACAACATCGAATTTTAGAATAAGTTTAGATTTGTTCGAATTGGGCACCTTTGACACGAATTATGACCTTCAAACGGCCAATGAAACCGTCACACGCTGTCCGAAGGTTGCTCTGCGTTATTTTGACCCACTTCCGGCGAAGCGTTTGCTTGAGGTGATCGACACTTTGGTATTTTTTAGTGCCGACCTTGCTTTCCAAAATACTCCCGATGCAATAGTCCAACGGATTGGTGCCCAATCATTTTGTTTGTTTACAAACTGCTGGACAACAACAACGTTTCTCATTGAAGAAATCCAAATTCGGCAGTTTACCACTTTCGGCCAAGCGAAGCAACTCTTTAGCTCGTTTGAGTCTATTTTCTTTCTCCTGCGGTGTAAGTTCTTGCACTTTTTGGAATTTGAATGGATTTACCCCGAGATCATTTTTTAATAATTGCCGAATGGAATATTGCGATATGTTCAGCTTTTGAGTCATTTTTCGGCCTCTGCGACGCGGGTTTCGATCAAGTCGCTTCTTTACTTTTCGAACCATTTCTGCTGATGTTGCTGTTTTCTTCCGTCCACTTCCTTGACATCGGGCTATGCTACCAGTATCACGGTAACAAGCGATGGTAGGAGACACAAAAAAATTATTCAGATTTAAATGCTGGAGTGCTCTAACGATAGCCACTTGTGGTTTTTCAGCCAAATGAAAAGAAATGACACTATCACGCTTGAATTCCATCACGAATAACTTTTTTTCTTGAAAATTCTCACCAAAATGCTTTTTTACGTTTGTAAACCATATAATGAGCTTTCACTGGAATAATTTCAACAGCTGTCGGACTTGCAGTTTTTATACCCTCCACCTTGAAAAGGAGGGTATATTAACATTGTCATTCCGTTTTTAATATCCCTAAATATTCGTCGTAGACCCCATAATGTATATATATTCATAATCAGCATAAAATTCGATATAGAGCGTCAAAATTAAGCATAATAATTTGTATTGTGTCTAGGATGATTGGTATTGAAAATGAGATATATCGGTCCACGTTTTGGTATAATATATAACGGTACCTCCCGATATTCGGTATTTTGATGATTTTTGCCACATTTTTTCACGGATTTGTCTGAAAATTGGTATTTGTATGTCATAATGAGTCCTAGTTCGTGTGGCGATATATTGTATGTATTTACGGACTTGTCTAAAATTGGAATTTGTCATAATAGGTTCCAGCTCCGTTGGCGAAATATTGTATATATACGTCTTCGTTTTTGTATAGCCCTATATAGCGGTACCTCCCGATATTCGGTATTTTGATGATTTTTGCCACATTTTCCCAGGAATATGTCTAAAATTTGGTATTAGTGGGCCATAATTGATTCTAATGTTTCCATTACCCTAAGGTGGAGGGTATTAAAAGTTCGGCCCGGTAGAACTTAATGTTTTTACTTGTTTAATCTTATCCTGTATGACTATTTGGCGATAATAAAATTATTTTTATAAAAAAAAAAAAACTAAAAAGATTCTAAGCTATCATTTATTAATCAAGTTTTATGAATTTTTAGCATCCTCCTACGATAATAGCACAATTTTTATTTTTAATTTGGTAGCAGGTTTTTTGTGTGATCCCATACAATTTCGCTATATGTACATATAGGTAAAACTATATGAGAAAATCCAGGTTTTTCCCCAAGTATTTCAAACAATTTTTCAAGACAAAAAAGGAAGGTCTTTATCCATAACGTCATAACTACATTTTCCACAGTTCTATTTGTTTATAATAGAATTCTAATATAAAAATTACGTCACAAAAAATTTGGACAATTACTAGGAAAATTGAATTTTAAGTCACAGCGGGAAGGTATGGTTTATTACGATTTGATAGCATCCATGAACCAATGATGCAAACGATTTCCATTAAAATAAATATATATTTCAATATCCAATATTATCTCTGTGGAAGTAACATTACATATTCTCTATGGAATGTACATTTACAACTTGTTGTTATAATTATTTTAAAGGACATTTTTTTTGTCAAAGTAGACATTCAATAAACATTTAATGCCATCCGATTTATCATCTCTTTTTTCATCTGTTTGATGGGTCAATGTTTTGCAAACAAAGACAGTGCTATCTGTGGAGCAAGCGGTGTTTTTTGCGGTCGGCATGTGCCTATGTGTGTTCGTTCATATGTGTAATTATTGATATTTTTGTATTGGCCGGTGGCATATAAGAGTATAACGGTATATTGTTTGTGGGAGCACTCAAATAATATAATTCAAATAATTTAAAAATTAGATTTTTCAACCTTAAATGTCAATTAAATGTCAAAAAGTTTGAAACTGTATTCGAAGGAAAATTTTTGCAATACTTCCTCAACACCCTTACATACGAGAGGAAATAATAGAAAAAAACATACACCGAATTATGTGGTCATTCCAATATTGTTGATAACTGTATGTATGTATGTATATTTCTTTAAATATATTCATGTGGAAATATTTACTTTTATGGGCTCATTTTATATTATTATAATTTTGCCATTGGATTCTCATAAGCCACAGAGATCTTGTTGCAATGTAGAACTGAACGACTATATAAATACACTTAGCATATCGAAGTGGCTCATTATTTGTTTTCGAAGCGACAACTTAAAAACGTTACAGTTTTGTTCTTGTGTGTGACATTTTCTCTTGCCGATATTTTGAATTGAAATATTTTGTGAAAAAAATGTTTCCCAAAAAGAGCCTTATTTGTTTGGGATTAATTTTGGTGGTGACCATGTGTGTGCAATCACAAATTGTACGGAACTGTAACTATTTGTATTGGAATATCATAGTTTAATTGTAATCGAATTATTTCAGATGACCGGAGGCGTAAAGACTGTTACCAATTTACAAGAAGTTGAAAGGGAATTGAGAATGTCCCTGTCTAAACTGGAAGCTGGCGATGGTCCGCATTATAAGTAAGTAATTGTTGTCAACATCTAAACAATTATCAAAGCGATGAATTTGGTCGGAATTTTCGAACTTTGATTACTGCTTTTCCAAACAATCATGAAAAATTTCTAAATTCCGGTTGTATAACATGCAGTGAAAGTGGCTTTCGCATTTATGTGAAAATTGATAAGTGATAATTATTTCAAATTGAACACTTTAAAAATTCCGCTTTAATTCTAAAAATTCCGAATGTCAGGTGTTACAATTATCTCGGACGAAAACGTCGACCTCTGCAGTCATTTATCTGCCAGACAAGGTAGTCCCTATTAAGAATTCAAACAACAAGTTTAAGACAATTCAGTTGAAGAGCGTAGCTAAAATCAAAAAAATCTCGAATATGGGGAGGTAACGTTATACGAAGACGTGACTAGGTATAGGCCATTACAAGTTCCAAATAAAACAATTTCGATAAAAAGTGTGACACAAATTATCAAAATACCAAATATCTGGGACTACAGACACATTTGAGTAAGATTTTATTAATCTACTTCATTTCGTTCGGAAGCAGGACAAACGGACCCACTTTGGGGGTTCTAAAATTTATTATTCAAAATATTGTAAAACATTTTAGTTTGGCATGTTTTAAATTTTATTAAATGAAAGCAAAACATTTCGGAATTGTACCTAATTTTAGATTTATTCGAATTGGTCACCTTTGGCACATTATATCCTTTAAACGTCCAATGAAACCGTCACACGCTGCCCGAATGTTGCTCTGCGATATTTTGGCTTATTCCCGAGGAAGCGCTTGCTTGAGGTAATCAACACTTTGGTATTTTTTAGTGCCAATCTTGCTTTCCAAAATACTCCAGATACAATAGTCCAACGGATTGGTATGCGGAGATACATAGTATGGAGGGTATATTAAGTTCGTCATTTGTCCGTCTGTACGTCTGTCCGTGTGTTGTAATCACGCTACAGTCAAAACGAATTAAGATAGCTAAAATTTTGCACAAATCTGTCTTTTGTTTGTAGGCAGCTCAAGTTCGAAGATGGGCTAGAAAAGAATTGTCTATATAGGCCCCCGATATCGTATATCCGCCATATAACGGTACCCAACGATATACGGTATTTTGATAATTTTAGCCACATTTTTCAATGGAATTGTCTGAAATTCTACACAAGGACTACTTTGCGAGTACTTTACCCCCTGAAAGATAATTGTCTATATAGGTCCACAATATCGTGTACCCCCATATATCGACATCTTCCGATATTCTGTGTTTTTAAGATTTTAAGACAATTTGTAATGGTTTTTTTTTTTTTAATTTCCTAATTCGTCCCAAATGGTGGAACTTACAGCTTTCTTATTTGTTTACTACCAACCTTGCTTTTCAAAATACTCCAGACACAATAGTCCAACGGATTGGAAGCCGGAGATTTTTGTGACCATTGTGCGCTGGAACCTCATTTTGTAACCATTCTTGGGTGGCGCGTGCTGAGTCCGATGGTGCTGACTCCTGTTGGAATGTTTAAGGTCTGTGGTCAAAATGTTTGCTACCCAAGGCTTTAATACACCCTCCAGAATATTTTCGCGATAATATTCGGCATTTATTTTGATGCCACGGTCGATTAATGCGACCATCGGCTGTTATGGCGGTTCACACCATCACCATAGCTGTCACTTGAGTTCTGGTGGCCAACCGAAGGTGCACATTTTCAGCTGACCACCTTTTTGGCAAGTAAACACGATTATTTTGTTTGTTTACAAACTGCTGGACAACGAACGAAAGTTTTCTCATCGGAGAAAACCAAATTCGGCGGTTCACCACTTTCGGCCAAGCGAAGCAATTCTTTAGCTCTTTTGAGACTATTTTCTTTCTGTTGCGGTGTAAGTTCTTCCACTTTTTGGAATTTCAATGGCTATTGAATATTGCGATATGTTCAGCTCACGAACTATTTTTCGGCCACTGCGAAGCAGGTTTCGATCAAGTCGCTTCTTTACTTTGTAGAAGATTTCTGCTTAAATTCACATGGAGATCAGCTTTAACCCCAACATGTGTTTTTAATATGTATGAAATCCTGGCGTTTAGGTAAGATTTTTGAAGACTTAAGAGACGTATGACAAATACATTGATAAAATATGTTCGACTTGCTACCATCCCGTTAAAGGAAGTATTTAACCATAATTTGAGAAAAGGAATCTTAATCCGCAAAATTTCAAAGAAGCAAAAAAAAAAAAAATAAGATCGCCTGGGTCGACCTTTTAATACCCTCCACCATTGGGTAAAGAAAACATGTTCATATAAAAGTATCTGAATTTAAACGTGTTCCACTTTAAACTACAAATACCAGTAAACCCGTTTGGATAATGCTGTTAAACTTTTCAAAACACCATAAAGTGTGTGAGGCCGTTATATGAGGGCCATACCAAAGCGGAAACCTTTTATTTTTTAAAGGATTGCCATCTACCAAATCTTCTTAAATACCAAATTTGAACCGATTTCGTGGTAAATGTGACTAAGACTATCAAAATACCGACATAAATACACAATATTCCGCCACCCAAGCTAGATAATGACTTACAAATACTAATTTTTAGACAAATCCCTGAAAAAATGTGACGAACATAATCAAAGTACGGAATATCGGGAGGTGCCGTTATATGGCGGCTATACCAAAACGTGGTCCGATATATCTCATCCTCAATACCAACGATCCTAGATACAATACAAATTGTTCTGCCAAATGTTTAAGTTCTACGACAAATAATGTGGGCCGTATCGTGATTTCAACAGACAAACAGACGGATATCGAATTTTATGCTGATCATGAATATATATACTTTATGGGGTCTACGACGAATATTAAGGAATTGTACAATCGGAAAGACAAAGTTAATATACCCTCCTTTTCAAAATGTGGAAGAGGGGGGAGCTTACTCCTCTATTTTGGTTCACTTTCAGCTCAACTTTTATAACCTATTGCGTTTTTTCTGTAATTATTTGCATAGTGTTGTTTACAAAAACATATTTTACAAATTATAAACATTATTTTTTTTTTCTTTATTTCAGGTTGCGCAAAGTTAACAAAGCCACTAGACAAGTTGTGGCTGGATCCTTGACGAAAATTGAGGCTGATTTGGAGGATTCAGCCGGTAAAGTCAAACCATGTAAAGTATCAATATGGTCTCGACCATGGTTGCCAAATGGAATTGAAGTCACCTTCGAATGCGATGGCGAACCCAAAGTGATTAGGAAACATAATGCCTGAGACGAAAAAACAAAGAAAAACGAATGAAATTAAAAACTGCAAGCTTTCAGTTCCTTATATAATAACAACAGTATATGCATTATTTAAACAATTATTATATTAAAATATAAATTAAATAAAATTACAATTGCTTCTATTTCAATTATTTTTCATTCATTTCTTTAAAAGCTTAATAATATTAAACAAATATAAATAAACTTAATATGATACATTCGGCTTTGGGATGTTCTCATTCCATGATGACACACACACCATCCATGACATCATCATCTTCTTTGTGTTGTTGTTGTATACTATAAAATACACACGAAATTAAATCTACAAATAGTGAAAAAAATCCCCTACCAGAAAAGTTAGTAGCTGGCATTTAATTATTTGGCCACAACACAGCAATGACAGAAGTGTGTATTTATAATTTTACTAAGATTTTTTTTTAAGAATTGTTTTAATTTTTGTTAAGGAAATACAACAAAGACGTCTAATAAGACCAGGTGGTCGTACGCCAATTACAGATCTCACTGATGTGGAAGTTACTTTGAATAAGTCATTGTTGAAATTGGCTGCTGGCGAAGGACCAACGTTTAAGTAAGTTAATTTTATTATTGAATGATTTTTGTCTTACATATGTTTTTCTATTTTTTGTTTAGGATAGCCAAAATTCACTCAGCTACAAAACAAATAGTCTGTGGTTCTCGTACTGAAATAAATGCTGATTTGACAAATGGTGTTGGTGAAACAAAAGAATACAGGGTTATTATATGGTCTCAACCATGGCTGCCAGATGGTATCCAAGTAACTTTTCAATGTGAGGGACAGCCAGAAATTGTTCGAAAACATAGTCCATAGAACATTAATAAACAATGATCTGTGCATTTTATAAGAATAAGAATGCTTATATGCACTGTGCGTTTAAATTATTTTTCGTCAAAAATGTTAATACGAAAGCGTGTCACCAAAGGTATATTTTTGCTTAAAAACTCTATTTTAACCATCAAAACGTTCTAGAAAGTTAGTTGTCATAAAATTCAACTAAGCTATACATAGAACAGTATACTACATAGCGTAGACTACATCAAAAGTTTAAATATAGATTTTCATTATATATCAAGATAATATTTATATCAACGTCACCCAGAAAATTTTCCTAATTACACCACAAAAACAAATTCTGGAAAAATATAGGAAACTATATATGGATCTATAGCGCAGAGCAGAGTCGATCTAGGTAAGTATGTCCCCCCGTCTGTAAAAGTTAATTTGTAATCATGCTACAGGCCGCAATTGTGGTGCGATACTTACGAAATTGAAAATGGAGGTGGAGTTAGGGTCAGAATAGAAGCCTATTGTTTTTGGAGATGATCGCAAAATATTTAGAGACTGAAATGGACCAAAAACAGAAAAAAATCCTCATATTGGAATTTTGCATAGAGTTAGAATTTAAAAATCACAAACATATTAAAAGGTCACTTCTGACCATTAGAATGATGCGATTATAACCAAGATATGAGATATACAGTGTGAGATGAAAAAACTGCAACCAGCTTCAGACTGCTGTAATTTCTAAGTCACTCGTCCGACAGCTGTTAAAATTATTCCAGTGACAGCTTATTATATTCTTTACAAGCGTACAAAAATGTGAGAATTTTCCAGAAAAAAGTTATTCGTGACGGAATTCAAGCGTGGTAGTGTGAAATCTTCATATTTGGCTGGAAAACATCAAGTGGCTATCGTTAGAGCACTCCAGCATTTAAATGTGAATAAAACTTTTGTGTCTCGTACCATCGCTCATTACCGTGATACTGGTAGCGTAGCCCGACGTCGAGGGAGTGGACGGAGAAAAACAGCAAAATCAGCAGAAATGGTTCGAAAAGTAACAAGTAAAAAATCCGTTAAAAATTCTGTTAAAATAACATAACGTAGGTAACATTTGTCATAATAACGTAGGTAACATTTGTCATAAGCCATTACAATATTCAAATGCGAAACTTAAAAAAAATCGGTTATAATGTCGATAAAATCAAAATACCGAATATACGAAGACGTGGACCTGTACAGACAAATTTCTGTCATAGGCTGTAGTATCCATTACGAACTTCAAATACTAAATTTGAAACAATTCTGCTGAAAGATGTCCATAAAATCATTAAAATACCGAATATCGAGAGGTACCGATATATGGGGGCTCTACAAAGACGTGAACCTGCACAGACAATTTTCTGTCTTAGGATGTAGTATCCATTATGGACTTCAAATACCAAATTTGAAAAAATTCCGGTGTATAAATTCGCTAAAATCATCAAAATACTGAATATCGGGAGGTACCGTTATATGGGGGCTATACCAAAACGTGGATCTACATGACCCATTTTAAATACCAAAAGTCCTGCAGACATAACCTTTAACTTCTGAGGTGACATATTTTATAACGTGGTGGTAAATTTTACCCCTCTAAACATTACAGAAAAAAAAACTTTGTTAAAAATTTTATTTGATAATAATTTGTTTTTTTTTTTTAAAATAAGCTTGTATATTTTAAATTACAATAAGTAAAAAAAAAAACAATTTTTTTATGTAAACAAAATTTTTATTCATTGTAATAGAATAGAGAATTTCAAGAAAATGTGAAGGGAGGGTAACATTTACCACCACCTCAGAAGTTAAAGGATAACATACATTAGAGCAAAATTTTATCAATCTACTTCAATTCGTTCGGAAGAGAGATAGATAGAGTGATTTCCACAGACGGGCAGACGGACAGACGGACGGACATCTCTAAATCGACATAGAATTTTATGCTGATCAAAAATGTATATACTTTGTGGGGTCTAAAATGTGTATTTCGAGGTGTTACAAACGGAATGACAAACTTAATATACCTATGGTGGAGGGTATAAAAATGCGACTTGATCGAAAACCTCGTCACAGTGACCGAAAAATGACTCGTGAGCTAAACATATCTCAATATTCCATTCGGCAAATATTCAAAAATGAGCTCGGGGTAAAACAATTGAAATTCGAAAAAGTGCAAGAACTTACACCGCAACAGAAAGAAAAAAGACTCAAAAGAGCTAAAGAGTTGCTTCGCTTGGCCTAAAGTGGTGAACTGCCGATTTTGGTTTTCTCCGATGAGAAAACATTCGTTGTCCAGCAGTTTGTAAACAAACAAAATGATTGTGTTTACTTCCCAAAGAGGTCAGCTGAAAATGAACACCTTCGGTTGGCCACCAGAACTCAAGCGCCGGCCATGGTGATGGTGTGGGCCGCCACAACGGCCGATGATCGGATTAAATATTATAACCACAGACCTTGGACATTCCAACAGGAATCAGCACCAGCGCACTCAGCACACGCCACCCAAGAATGGTTACAAAATTAGGTTGCTTACTTCATTTCTGCGCACATTGGCCACCAAAATCTCCGGATACCAATCCGGAAAGCAAGGCTGGCACTAAAAAATACCAAAGTGTTGATCACCTCAAACAAAAGCTCAAACCGCATATCATTGGCCGTTTGAAGGCCATAATTCGTGCCAAAGGTGACCAATTCGAACAAATCTAAATTTATTTCAAAATTTGATGCTATATTCGATATGTTTTGCTTTAATTTAAAAAAAAAAAAAATAAAAATTATGGCGTTTGACTTTGTTGCAGTTTTTCTTATCTCACCCTGTATACCAAATTAGGTATACTATATATGTAAAATAAATAGGTCTTAGGTATTCTGCTTATAAGTCGGACTGATTTTCACAATTCGGAATGGTATTTTGCCTGAAAACGATAAAATTTAAGAAAATCGTGAACAATGTGACAAAAAAGTGAATATTTTTGTTAAATTTTGTATTTTTTGTCATATTTTTATCGCATGCGTTTTTTAATTTGCCTTACAATATTGAATTGTACATTTTCTAAAGTTTTCCTACACTCTGCAACACTTTGTGTTGACGGTATTATATGCAGGTCGTCATTATCGTGTGATCCTCATGAAATTTTTAATGAGGGTATGGTTAGGGTCAGAATTAAGGCCTACTGTTTTTGAAGCTGTATCAAATTGATCAAAAAATTCAAATTTTCCTGATTTTGCAGTCGCTCTACAAGTCACAATTCAAAACCAATCGACACGGAATTTTGCACTAAGACCTTGAGGAAAACTATTTTAATCAAGGGATAAAATTGCTAGAAAAGCATGTATTGAAGTTTCAGGAGATTATATTGAAAAATAAATATATTCTTGAATTTCATTGATATGCTAAGAAGTTTCCGAACCGCCCTCGTATGGGGCTATAACAAATCGGGGGCCTATGTGTCACTATTTCAATAAAAAAGTCGACAGACCTAAAATAAATTTGAGTACATTTATATCCAACTACTTCCAAATGGATGGATGTGACTTAAGATCATTATTTTAGAAAAATGTATAGTCTACAACTTCTAAAAATGCTGAACCCGTATAACTTTTTATATACCTATGGTTTGGATTGATGCTTTATTCATAACGTTAAAGTCTTGCCCTTCACTAAAATGTTTAACAATCCTTCTTCTTCATCACATAACTGACTGCTCTTGCAAGAGGAAGTAATTTTCAAAGTAGTTAACAACCGAGTTGCATTAAATCTATGATTGCAAGAATATTGCCTTAGTCTGGTCTCGAAATCAGCTTCTAGGTGGTGATACATGTCTTGCAAGCTTAATGAATTGCATCAATGTTTTGTCCAGCAGACATTGGTTTGATAACAAATAATCATTTGGTTTTATTATCAACCTTTATTTACTCACAGAATACGGATTTATACTTTGCCAAGCCATTCTTTTGTCCACTTTGTTTAAACTTCATTCTTTGTCCTCTTTGTTAAAAAAAATATTCCATAAGTTTGAGTAATGTAAACGAACTGCATATTATTGTAGATAAAGGAATGCATTTCGTAAGAAAATGTGAATTGGAGCCCAATAATTGGGCTGACATATTATATGGGAGATATTTAAAAGTTGAACTTTTTTGACAGTTTTTTTGCCAACTTTGGCTTGAACATTTCATTTTGTAACTCTATTGAGAACAGCTTGCGGGGAAGGTTGCAAGCCCCGAGTACCTTTGATTACCAAATTAAAATATATATGGGCTTAGAAATTGTGGCTAAGGCCTTCAAAATACCAAAATCATATTTTTCTTTTGGAATTTTCAGTTATATTTATATAGAAGCCCTATTTACAGAAGAATATAAATATAGGTCCACGTTTATTCCGGGGAGTTACAAACGGCATGGTAAAAATAATATACCCTCCATAGTATGGTGGTATCGAGAGTTTAAGTTTTAGATTTTTTTGTTTGCCATATAAAATGGGAGATTTTTCAAATAGTTTCCAACATCGACATCCCTAATGACTTGCTATAAAATGCACAACACACTTGTTTTTCGTTAAATTTGTAACAGCCGTGAAGTAAACATCAGTCGTTTAAAGCTTTTCGACACGACAGTGTGTACGCTTCGGAAGATATTGACAATAAACAAAATATTCCACATCAACGCATAAAAATTCTATAAAAAGGTGATTCCATACATTTCGTGTATCGTTCAACGACCCAAAACAAAGTGACTACACACACAATCATACACTGTGTGTGTACTCATTGTATACATATTTATATATTGAGTTTTGTTTGTAAACAAGTTTTGTTGTTGTTTTCCCTTTTAGATGACCAATGAGTTAGTACCTGTTCTTGAAGGAGATTTAATATTCGTACGAGTTCCATTTTAAATTTTAAATGCCTGTAATATCGGTTAGGAAGACTATATTTTCAATTTTCTTGAAAAAAGCGGGCGGTACACTTATATTGGGGGCTATATCAAAACGTGAACCAAATACCAAACAATTCCGCTAAAAAGACGGTTAAAATGATCTAAATACTGAATACTTGGAGGTACATTTATGAGGGATGTATAGGAAAGTCCTCGCTTTCCTTAAGATCATTATCTGATAAAGTGGAAGATATCTATTTTGAACATTAAATATCATAAATCAAATCAAATATTTAAGTTGAAAAATGTGGTCAGAGTCATTAAGATACTGAACACCCAGGAAACCGCTATTGGGCAGTAGGAAAACAGGTGGAAAAACCCATTGCGAACTGTAAATTTTGAATTTTATAGAAATCCGTTGGAAAGGTTTATAAAATCGGCAACATACCGAATATCGGAAGTACAGTTATATAGGGTCACTAATTAGCAAAATATTTCGTCTAAAAGATGTAGAACACAAAACAAACTGTAAATTATAAAAATTTCTTTAAAATATGGCTGAAATAATCAAAATACTGAATACCTGGTGGAACCATGATATGGGAAGTATAGGAAAGCGTACATCGACATGCCCCATTTACGAACTTTGTCTATATACTGACAAAATACATTTGTATACAAAAAAGTATGTCTTCTATCACAGTTCGTTCGAAAGCTATCATTATTACAATAGACAGATCGTGATTACAACAGACATGGCTAAGTAGTCGGCTTACAACTTTACGCTGATCAAGAATATACATTTTTTGTAGGGTCTAACATAATTTTTTTTATTTCTAGATGGCCGATGATTCAGTACCTGTTCTTGGTGGCTCTAGGCCCGTATCCAATTTCGAAGAAATCGAGAAAACCTTAAACAATTCTTTGTCTAAATTGGCAGCTGGTGATGGTCCCAACTACAAGTAACTATTTTTGAAAAATTTAGTGTTATTTTAATATTTAAATCAACTATTATTTTTGTAGATTGGTGAAAATTTATTCGGGTGAAGTTCAAGTGGTTTCGGGCTTATCAACCCGAATCGAAGCAGATCTAATGGATGAAAACGGCACAACTAAGAGATTTAAAGTTTGCATTTGGTCCCAACCCTGGCTGAAAAATGGCGTACAAGTTACGTTTGAGTGTGACGGTGAACCGACGGTGGTCAAAAGTCATGATCCCTGAGAGGGAAATTTGAGATCATATATATTTAATTATATTATTTCTTTTTTTAAGAAATGAAAGTCAAAATTCTTAATAACTTTGTAAAATTATTTTTTGTATATCCATGGCATATCTGTGATGCTGTAGAAATGTCATTGTGTAAATATTTTTTTTTTGAAAATTAAATTATTGTAAAAAATTTAGCGATAAAATCACGTAATCAATTTGCCGTGGTACAGATATATTAGGGCTAGATGAAAACGTATACCTGTATAATCCAGAGAAGGCGGTACATATTGTGAACTCCAAATACCAATTTTGAGACAATTCCTTTGCAAATGTGAGTAAAATCGACATAAAACGAAGGTACTATTATGTGGGGGATAAAATATATCGTTATGTCCTGGGGGGTGGCCTATACAAAAATGCGGTTTATAATTTTATATTAGAAGAGATAGTTTCTATTGTCACAACTTTGAATTAATTCCTTTGAACATTTTCGCTAACATAATCAAAATGCCAAATGAAGGATCCATGCGAAAACGTGGCAATTTTCTGCTAAAGAGTTGTTTCGCTTCGCCGAAAGTGGTGAACTGCCGAATTTGGTTTTCTCCGATGAGAAAACATTCGTTGTCCAGCAGTTTGTAAACAAAGAAAATGATCGTGTTTACTTGCCAAAGAGGTCACCTGAAAATGTGCACCTTTGGTTGGCCACCAGAACCCAAGCGCCGGCCACGGTGATGATGTGGGCGTATTAATGGGCCGTGGCATCATAGTAAATGCCGAATATTATCGGGAAAATATTCTGGAGGGTGTATTAAAGCCTTGGGCACGCAAACATTTTGGCCGCAGACCTTTGAAATTCCAACAATACTCAGCACGCACCACCCATGAATGGTTACAACATGAGTATTCTCGCTTCATTTCCAGCGCAAAATCATTTCCAGCACAATTCATTTCCAGCACAAAATCTCCGGATACAATCCGTTGGACTAGTCTGGAGTGTTTTGGAAAGCAAGGTTGGCACAAAAAAAAAAAAAATAAAGTGTCGATTAGAATTCGAACCAATTTAAGTTTATTCTAAAATTTGATGCTATTTCCGAGATTTTAGCTTTCATTCAATAAAATTGAAATAAACAAGTAAGAAAACATAAAATTCGGCCGGACCAAATTTTTAATACCCTCCACCTTAGGATAAAGGAAACATTAGAAGAAATGTGGCAAAAACCACTAAAATGCCGAATCTCGGGAGGTACCGTTATATGGGGGCTATACCAAATCGTGGACCTACACATGCAATTTTTTGCTAAAGGAGCTGGAACCCATTATGACCTACAAATATCAATTTTCAGGAAAATCTGTGAAAAAATGTGGCAAAAATCATCAAATTACCGAACATCGGGACGTACCGCTGTATGGGGGCTATACCAAATCGTGGTCCTATACATGCAATGTTTTGCCACACGAACTGGGAAGCATTATAATCTACAAGTACCAATTTTGAGAGAAATTCTTAAAAAAATTTGTCGAAAATCATCAAAATACCGAATATTGGGAGGTACCGTTATATGGGGGCTATACTATTGACCTATGTAGGAAATCATCGAACTTGATCTAATATATATATATAAACATATATATATATATATATATATATATATATATATATATATATATATATATCTTCCGCAGAAATTTGGTACATATGCGTTTGATGTGTGACCTTAGTTTGTCTTGGCTTCTTTGGTCCTCTTTTATAATGTACTGATTTTTCCTGTAATTAGTTTTTGTATTGCATCGTATAAAATATTTTTGAGGAAAGCATTTAAAATTCAATTCTTTTGTACCCTCCACCATACTATGGAAGGTATATTCATTTTGCCATTCCGTTTGTAACTAATCGAAATAATGATCCAACAAAGTATATATATTCTTGATCAGCGTAAAATTCTAAGACGATTCAGCCATGTCCATCTGTTTGTCTGTCCGTCTATCTGCTGTAATCACGCTATCTTTCGAACGAAAAAAAAAATTTGCACACATATTTATTTTGCCAGTAGGCTGGTTAAGTTCGTAAATGGGCCATGCAGGTCCACGTCTTCGTATAGCCCCCATATAACGGTACCTCTCTATATTCTGTATTTTCATGATTTTAGCAACATTATTCACCGGAATTGTTTCAAATTTGGTATTAGAAGTTCGAAATGGATACTACAGTCTGTGACAGAAAATTACCTATGCAGGTCCAGGTCTTAGTATAGGCCCCATATATCAGTACCTCCTATATTCGGTATTTTGACGATTTTAGGTACGGCTATATTCGATATTTTTTAAATGTTAATAGAATTTTTGGCGAATGTTATCTTTTTCGAAAATTTTCAAATTCGTTCTAAATGGTGGGTATTCAAAGTTCTGCCCGACCGAACTTACTGATTTTTTACTTGTTATTAGTTCAAAATTTTATTTAAAATACATAGCTAAATAACTGGCGAAATTTCAAAAATATCGTGCGGTACATTTCCACTTCTGCATTTTTACGGAAAATATTTAAAATATCCTATTATTAATTTTATTTTTTGTTGCTGGGTGTTCTAAATCAGTACTGCACACCCTCTCACCATGTGTTTGATAAAAAACAAGTCGTTTCCTATCTTTCCAATGGCGCAGTGAATGCATAACAACAACGAATGACATTATTGAAAATGAACGGTGGGGGAATATTAAATGTGTCACAACACCGATAAAATCTATTTTTAATATGAAATTTCATTTCGACGCTGTTGAGCAAGTCGGATGATCGATAGTTGAACTAAATATAAAACTTGTCACAAAGAGTGCAGTCAGATTTCTGATTGCAACAGTTTGTGGTGTTGCACACAACATTTTTATTCGAATTTCAAAATATTTCTATTATTTATAGATGAGGAGAACTTGTAGTTTTTTTAACATATTCTGCATCATTTTGATGAAGTGAGCGTATCTGTTCAATTTAAAAAAGTAATGTTTTTCTCGATATATTGAAAATCGAGTCCTGAAGTCCTGAAAATAACCATACAACAGGAAGATTGGGTGACATGTATGTAACCTTTCGCATTACTAGTAATGACTACCCTCTATTCTTTGCATTGCTAGTATCCAAAAAATAATTGCAACTAATGGTCTATGCATTACCAGTTGGCTACAAAATAAAGAGATAATGCTATAAAATTATTATGTCAATTGTACGCTGGAAATGAAGCGAGGAAAGAAACAACACTATCACGCTTCAATTCCATCAGGAATATCTTTTTTTCTGGAAAATTCTCACCAAAATGCTTTTGTACGCTTGTTAACGAGTCGGACGAGTGGCTTAGAAATGACCGCAGTCCGAAGTTGGTTGCAGTTTTTATACCCTCCACCATACTATGGAGGGTATATTAACTTTATCATTCCGTTTGTAACTCCTTGAAATACTCATGTCAGACCCAACAAAGTATATATATTCTTGATCAGCGTAAAATTCTAAGTCGATTTAGCCATGTCCGTCTGTCTGTTGTAATCACGATATCTTTCGAACGAATTGAGATAGAAGGCCAAAATTTTGCACACGTGTTTATTTTTCCAGTAGGCATGTAGGGCCATGTAGGTCCATGTTTTCATATAGCCCCCATATAAAGGTACCTCCAGATATTCGGTATTTTGATGATTTTAGCGACATTATTTACCGGAATAGTTTCAAATTTGGTGTTTGAAGTTCGTAATGGATTTTACAGCCTATAACAGAAAATTGCCTGTGCAGTCTTCGTATAGCCCTCATATAACGGTTCCTCCCGATATTCGGTATTTTAATGTTTTTAGCAACTTTATTCACTGGAATTGTTTCAAGACAGAAAATTTTCTGTGGATCTGCACAGACAATTGCTCGAGATTTAATGCTATTAAATCTAAAAAAAAAATTAATATTATGATGATTTTAGCGTCATATTCACCGGAGTAGTTTCAAATTATGTATTTAGAGTTCGTAATGGGAACTACAGTTTGTGACAGAAAATTATGTATGTAGGTCTTCATATAAGCCCCATATATCAGTACCTCCCTATATTCCGTATTTTGACTATTTTAGGTACAATACTCACCAAAATTGTTTGAGATGTCGTATTTGAAGTTCGTAATGGATGCTATAGCCTGTGACAGAAGATTCTCTATGCAGGTCCAGGTCTTCGTATAGCTCCGATATAACGGTACCTCCCAATATACGGTATTTTGATGATTTTAGCTACATTATTCACCGTTTATTTCAAGTTTCGAATTTGAATATGGTAATGGATTATGCAAACTAAGCCTATGTAGGTTCACGTCGTAGAGACCCCTATATTCGGTATTTTAAGTTTTTAACAACATTTTTAACGGATTTTATTTTTTGAAAATTTCCAAATTCGTTCCAAATGGTGGAGGGTATTCAAAGCTCGCCCGGACGAATTTACTATTTTTTAACTTGTTAAACTTGAAAAAGCTTGACCTAAAAACCCGAAATTATTTTGGAGTTTTCATTTATATACACTATATACTATACCACTTTCTATTTTCCACAACCAGCATGGCTATTGAAAGGCGAAATTATAGGGAACATTTGCAGCGAATTTGATTCGGGTTTAAAATAAATTAAGATTGTTGATATTTTTATGATACATATTGAGAATGCGATTCTTTTTAGTTCAGAGACTTACTATTAAATTCGATACAGAATATTTTTTTCTTTGATTCTTGGGTTGTCCATATTCGACGGGCCCATCTGGCAACGCCATAAATTTTGACAGAGATGTCACATCGCTTAATGACATACCGCGTTTGAAGCGTCAGTCCAAGCTGATTTTTACCATGAACCAATACACGCCACGCGAGCGCTCTGAAATAGTCAATTGCGTCAATTGAAGTTCAATTGTGAAAACTCAACGTGCTTTTAAAACATTAAAAAATGTGAGAAGTGCGCCTTCTAAGAACACCATTAAGCGTTTATACGAAAAATTTTCGACTGGTAAGGCTCTTTCTACTCCGAAGAGGCCATATAATAGTCGACCAAGGCGATCGGCCGAGAATATCGCTGCCGTACGAGCCAGTGTTGAGAGGTCCCCCAGAACATCCCAAAAACGCCGTTCTCAGCAGTTGACATGGCTCGGTCCACTTTACAACGGATTATTCGCATTGACTTGCATTTGTTCCCT